ATGATGATGATGATGATGATGATGATGCCAGGTCCAGGAATCAAATCCGAGACCTCAGAAGTGCGAGGCGAGTGCACTATAGCTACACTACTCTTGGTTCTCACACTAAACCTCCCTCCTTTGGGAACGTCTGTTTGCAACGTAATACCTAACACAAATGAAAATTAAAACCGCAGTTTTGCTATTTTATTTACTATTGACCTTCATCAGATCAAGACGCTGTTTTGTCGAGGCCTGTCTGTTTAAACAATAGGTTTTTGTTCCGCGTTGCTTGATAACTGAAGCGTCTTTGACATTACTTCCCATTACAAGAACAAGAAGATCAGTTTGCTCTTTAATTTCGAACAACTCAAGTCAACGATGTCTAAACTTGCTTTCATTTTTTTGTTTGTCTGTTTGCATTCAGCTCTTACTTCAGCCAAGTACCGTAAGTAAACTTATGCCTTTGTACAACACTTGATTWGCTATCTGTTATTGTTTTGTGAATCAATTCCAATCAAATCAAATGTGATTTTCCAGTGGTTAATACCACAGAGTAGCTTTTCGTCCACTCGATTTAAGTTTCTTTTGAAGTTTTATGGTGGAAAGTCCATAAATAAGATTCTTAAAAGCGCAGTAGAGAAGCGGAAACAAGCATTTCAGAATCGCGATACAAGCTCATGAATCCAATCTGGGTKGCAGCTAAATGAACGAGTAAGCGGTCTGTTGAAGCTAGAACATGATTGTCTCTAGGTTTTAGCTTTTTCTTGCTCTTATGTTATTTTACAAAACATGTTTTTCATTTGCTGCTAATTTACTTCATACCCGTGTCCAACATTCTAACTCTTTCTACCCTTTATTTGTATTAACAAAAATGGTAACYAAAACCGTTTCGTAAAACGTTTGAGATTCCTATCATCAAATGCAAAGAATAGAAAACAAGAAATATGTTGTTACACACACACCACATTTAAGTTCCGTGGTATTGCGAATATCAGATTGAAGCTCAACTTTTCTTTATTTGTAGTTTCTTGTCCACAGGGTTGGACTACTTACAAGGAATCGAGCTACTGTTACCGTGTGGGCAACAAGCCAACGACCAAATGGAAGACAGCAAGAAAAGCGTGTTTGTCCATGGGAGGTGACTTGGTGAAGATAAGGTCAGCCCAAGAAAACAGATACGTGGCTCTTCTTGCTCGTACTTACTCGAGTAGYAGCAGTTACATGTGGCTGGGGATTGTTGGAGGTACAGTGAACTAATTTAATATAATTTTAGACTTGAATATCTCAGAGTTTCTCCAGCTGTGATTGGTCGATCTACCGGTTATTTTTGAGACGATCCGGAAATTATATGATGTTTTCCAAAGATCTCCAGATAGGAGGTCATACTAAAACGTTTTTTGTATCCTAAATTTCAACTTTTCTGTGGTATTCAAGTCTAAAATTATACTAAAACAATTATKCCCCTCAGGTTCAGKGATTATGGTCAGCTCGTTTAAACATTCCACCGAGAATCACTTTACACTTCGCCTTCGGCGAATAATGATTACTAAATATAATAGGATAAATGATACATTGGCTGGTTGTCTGGCTGGCTGGCGGGTTGGCTGGCTGG